CCAGGTGAAGCCGTCTCATTGCAGAGCTGATGACAGCCCCTGCCCTTCAGCTGTACTCTTTCCAAGTCAGCCCCATGCTGCCATTTCCCTCTCCCAGCATAGCATCCCTTGGAACAGCTGCTCCTTTCCAGGACTCACTCAGCCCTCCAAGCCTGTACAAACCAATGGATCCTCAGGTGCAGGCCCTGCACTTCACTGGCTTTCCTGATATTTTTGCTGACTCAGTTCTCATGGTTTCTCTGCACTGAAGTGCCATCATTCAGCATGCAAACCAACTTTGCTAACTTAAGAATTATCCCAGATTTGCCGAGGACATAATTTATGTTCCAAGTGGTCTCCAGAGACTATTCTGAACAATGCAATATTGACCCTGCTTGTTAGCAGCATCCAGCCACGTTCTAGATCTGACTAATTTTCTTCCCACATAACAGTCCAATCATTATTCTGCCCATATGCTCGTCATGTTAGAGAGCAAAACCAGAACATTAAGCAACCCATTTCCTTTTAAAGAGGTCGTTACATGGTAAAAGTTGCTCCTTGGAACCACAGTTGTCACCAAGAGGATCTGGTGAGTATCTCCCATAGGAATACCAGAGTATTTACATAACTGCTTGTTCCCAGGCACAACATTCATCAGCAGATGATTCACTGCATTTTCTACCCTCTTTCTACTTTGTGGCTTTCAAATATGAACTGTGCTGTGACTGTATGCCACAACCCTTGCATGAGGTACCACATTAACCCAAGAGCGGCACACACAGACTCAGGAAAAGCTTCTTCTCATAAACTAAATAAGAATCCCCATCACATGTAGCACTGTATCACTCTCTTCAAACAGTGAAGACCTGCTGAGCAGCTAAGACCTATCATATTCTTTTTTTCCTGGAATCAAAGACAAGCCAGCCTGCTCCCAACTCGCTGCTGCTTAGAAGCTCACCCCTTCACACCTCAGAAGATCTCCAGCAGATTTTCTCTGAAGCCTCATCCACATTGGTCTTTCACTGGTTACCTGCTCAATGGAAAACGTCCCGCTACTTTGCAGATGAGGACAGATATCTCCATCTGTAAAGTTCAGAAATGCGAGAAAAGGTAATAGCTGTGTACGGAAGGATTGCCATTGCCTTCAGCCAGAGAGCCATACTGTACAAAAGGCATTTGGCTTTCTGCTTGCACACAATGCTTGTATTAGACATGAGGGAGTGACAGCAAGATTCTCCTAAACTAGTTAAGTGATTGTCTTAGTTGCAAAAGCTTCTAACTTTTAGCAGTGACAAAAGATGCATGTATATTTTCCTATTGAAATGTACACTTTGAGAACATTTTTCTGTAACAGCTCTTATTTTGCATTAGAGAACAGCTTCAGATGCAGAAGAGAATTTAACATTTTAAGGGGTGCAAGTGCCTCCTGGTACAAAACATCATCTCTTAAAAAAGGAGCAGTTTCTACATCCAGTACTGCAGCTGCTCAGACATAAATGCAAGTGCTGATCAGTTACATTTTCCAGTTTTGGCACTGTAAACAAGAATGTCCCTTGTCAACCTTCCTCCTCTGACAACTGTCTCATCTTCATTCATGGAAATGAACGAGCAAAAATGTATCTTAAAGCACATTTCCCTAAGTTAGCTCTCATTTCCGAGAGGAAGAAGGGGAACCACCAAGACAATGCAAGTCAAAAGAGCAAAAAACATAGGCCCAAATTTCTAGAGAGGCAGGCTTTCCTTGTCAAATGTTTAAGCTAGGAAGAGCTGAATTTTCAACTCCTCTGCTAAAAGACATTAATTTTCAGAGCAAAAAGAAAGATACAACAGGATTTATTTATCAAAGTATTAACTCACGGATTCAGGGATCCATGCAAGAATGAAACAAACAAACATAAGTTTCTAGTCTACTGCTTAAACTCATTTAATACACAAAAAGTAACCATAACAAAGCACAAACTGCATTCAGAGCACAAGTGCACGATGTCCTGTTTAACTTGTCATCCAGCAACATGAAAAATTATTGGTTTATTCAACACCTGAATTGCCCAACACCTAAGAAACAGCATATGCCAAATGCTAAGGTCCTCATTCTTGTCCCACCTTGATGCCCAAGGTCCTTCCTGCCATCTTCCACTTCAGGCTGACCCTCAGCCACTGTTTAACTCCATCACTGTCCAGTCTATGCTTTCATTCATCTTCTCTATGAAAGAAAATAGCACCTATTCCAAATACCTCACATTTCAGACACTAAAAGAAAGCAAACACTAAGCTATTGCTGTTCAGACTAAGGAAAATTGCTTTTTTGTAACTCCTTCTGAAAGCAATAAGCTATACCCAAACAAAGCCCTGCTCTGTTACAATCTAGCATCTGTGGGTAGGAAAGTGACAGGGGGCTCCAGGTCTTTCCTCCACTGCCATTTTACCATTGTCCCACAGGGAATGTTGAGCGCACATCACAGCATGGATCTGCCTTCACATCCTACATCACAACCAGCTGAGCAACTCCTGAAATCTTCTGAGTATGTTTTTGTCTTCAGAACAGCCAAACTAAAACCTCAAACAGGAACTGACAGAAATATGTGATGTAACTGTGGCTGCAGCAGAAAACTTGTAGTACAGAGGCCTGGAGAGATATATAGATATATATAGATATGTATATATATGTATATATACACACACACACACCTTAATGCCCTCAGTAAAGCCTTGAAGCTCAAGATGGTCTAAAATATAGACTTGCTATCTTTTCCCTAAAATCCTGCCTAACGGGATGAGTAGGCTCTCATATACCAGAAGGGTTTGCCAATTTCTCCACAGCAGTAATCAAGTCTCTGCTCTGCCATATCTGAACAGTCTGGAAAAGCTGAAAGTCAATACTAAGGATTTAACAGCTGAGCTGTTTGTGCAAAGCTCTGTATTGTGGACATAGTAAGTAGTTCTGTGCAGGCCACCTCAGACCCACAGGTTACAGCGGAAAGACAACTGTAACTGCAGAAGATAAAGATGCAGCTGGTCTAGCTTGTATGCAGCAGCCAGAGCAGAAGCCTTTCCTGGAACTGCTCACTGCAGTGTTCCTTCATCCCTGAATGATTTTTTCATGTGAAGCTTGTTTGTTCTCAGTAAAAAATAAAATGAAGTTGAATTCATTTTTTCCAATGAAAACAAGTCATTTTTCCATCTGTACAATTAAGTTTCAGTAGCAAGAACAGAACACACCACTCCATTTAACTTTTCCTGAGTATTTTTTCCACTGAAGAAGGTATGTAGCTATGAGAAATGTCAAGTGCCTACTAGTCAAGGTTAGCTTGTCCAGTCATTTAGACTAGACTCATTCTGGAAAACATGCACAGAGAACTGAAAATGCACATCAGAACTGAGCAACAGAGGTGGCAGGGAAACACAAACTGACTGCAAATAAAAAGAACCACAGGATTTTCTTCCACAGTTCTCATTACCAGAAATATTTTTTAGCAAATTGTACCTTATCCCATAGGTATCTGCTCTGTATTGCAAGACCCAGAATTGAGTAGCTGACTGGCAGTGCCTCAGATCTGTGTTTCTAGGCAATACTTCTTCCATGGAAAAGAATTCTGTTTTGAAAATACATTCATCCTCCCATGCTTCAGAGGCATGGAAATATTCCTGATTGATACAAGCAAGGGGAAAAGACGACATTCTGGAAACTTCAGAGAATTTAGAACCAGTCATTCAAACAACTGCACAGCAGATTGATCAAATGTTTCAACTGCATATCTTAAAAAAAAAAAAAAAAAAAAAAAAAAAAAACACTTGAAAGCAAACAGCTGAGCCAATACGCATACATTATCCATATCTAGTTTAGCTCCACAAATTAGTACCCGAAGTTCATTTATAAGCAAGAATTCATTTCAGGAAAGACCAACCAGCAGCAGAAACTATGAGTGACCTTGCTAAACACTGCCTCAAAGCTCTACAAAGCACTGATTGTTCACAGTCTTTAGCAAACAGTTCATGTATCAGGTGACTCAACAGCTTTCAGCACAGTGCCTTCAGTTCAAGCAGCAAATAGTACAGAGGGTTAACAGCTTTTGTGCTAGTATCGAACATTTTGGCTTTTTCACTATTAGTCATATCAGTGAACCAATGAAAATTGAACAATAATTGCTTCATTCACTCCAGCTCTAAAACACACAGGAAAAGATGTGCTCAATGTAACAGAACATGCAGTGCTTGTGAGGCTTGTTGATTCAGTCCTTTATGCAGTCACATCTTCATATGTAGCCTTAATCCTAGCACCACAAGACATCCCAATATTTGACAGAGCAAGAAATTCATTTACACCAATTGTACTTCCTCCTAAACTGTTTCAGTTACAACTACTTGCTAAATATTTAGTAGAGCTTTTAACTTTGCATAGGTCTTAACAGACTGAGTCAACAAGTATTTCAGAAAGGTTTGTTACCAGAAAAAAGAATGCACTGGAATCTCCCCCCGGCTGACAGCTTTCAGGGAACTGCTGAGCTGCCATTTAAAGTTTTTGGAAACCATGATTACCGTGTAAGAGCAATAAACAGAGGTTATCAGGGCTCTACAGGGAGACAGCAAAGTCCACGAGGAGCACTTTTCTTCAAATTTAAGAAATTTGGTCTAACATGTACTACTAACACAGTATTGGCTGACCGACAAAGGTCTTAAATTCACTAAAGAACATTTTGAGTTGGATCCTTTGAGTTCCAGTTATGAAACATTTGGATTTCTTTGAAAATAAAATCCTCTCTAACACTCTCAACTGCAGCTTCTGATTCTGGGAACTTAATTAACTCCTGCTTTAAATCAAATATAGTCCCAGTACTTCTTGGTAAGGAATCTGTTTTATCTCTATCACAATCATCATTAGAAAGCAGCTTTCATAAATATTAGAAGAAGAAAGTCTTACCATTTTCAATCACATTAATCACAGAATTCAAATAAGTCAACATAAACTACCCATCTCTCAATAATACAAGAGGGAAAATAACACCTCTATTAAGAAAGATTACCTGGGAGATATGGTTGATGGAGGACTCCATCCTCCGCAGCTGGGATGCCTGGATGTCCAGCAGCTGTAGTACATTGTTGGCCAGAGCATTGATCTGATAAGCAACACTGGCTAGAGACTGAGTTGTGTAGGCTTTGGTCTCTTCTAATGCTTTCCTTTTATCTGGAGCCTGTAAAGCAAAAGAACAAGATGTTTGCTTAAGGCTGGGAAAAGGGTACGAGATGGGGGAAAGAACAGGAACAAAAAACACAACCTATATTTAGAAGAATCTGTAATCAAGAAAATCTGACTATGCAGTCAAAGTACTCAGTCTGCATCAACATTCAAAAATTCTCAATAAAAAAGTAGAAATAAAGAATTTGAGAACTATTTAACCATAATATTACATGCCAAGAAGCAATTCATTCAGCAGAAAAAAAAACACATGATTTATCAGCAATGGGTTTCTAAAGCCTGCCTGCACATCCTTGATTTCCAGAAAAGCCTCTAATTCCCCAGGAACATTGAAACAGTTTTCACCATCTCTTATGAGATCACACAGCCCAAACAACTTAAATATAGAAAAATATTTTCCCACAGTTCAGTGTCCCCCACCACACACGCTGCCTGCAAAGCCAACCCTCCTGCTGTGCAGGCTGCGGCCCAGGAGTGGAGAGAGGGGAAGCAGAGCAGCAATTGTGACATTACCTCTCCTCTTGTGAAAGCTTAATAAGCCTTCCTTGGCAGCTGCCAGCTTGCTGCTGGCCCTGTTTGCTCAGGTACCACTCACCTCCAGGAGCAGATCCTTGCTGCGATCCCACTCACATGGAACAAGGCTCACCTAAGCCTCCTTCTCCTCCTGCCTTCCCCTGAGGTGTCCCACAGCAGCACCCAGCCTTATGTTCTTTTCTACCCCTCTCTGATCCCATTCCAACCCTCACCTTTATCCACAAAAGGTGCACATTTCATACATTCCTTGTCTTCTTTCACCTCATCAGCCCCACAGTCATCAGTTCCAGCAGCAGCTAAGCCACTTCACATGTTGACAGAAGAGCAGAGAACCCACCCTGCATTTCATTTCTTTGTACCACAGTCAGTCCAGTTACAGTTACCATTTGTTCCTGAATCTCACCTCATGCTTCTTCAGTGTCTTAGGTTAACATCCACCAGTATTAAATCTGCCCCTTAAGTATGAAGGGAACTAATAAGGAAACCTTCTTGTCTCTCTTGCTTTAAGGAGAAAACTGGAAGGTAAACTGATCGTATATATCATAAACTCACTGCACAACAAATACTGAAACACAAGCTATGCCATGCTATCTCCTAAAGAGATATATTTCTTTTTTAAAACAAGGATGAATTCCTACCCCACTCCCACAAACCAGGAGATTTGTTTCGATCCATTATCAGTGTTCCCAGCAGTGTTCTGACATGTAATAGAACACTTCTAGCCAATGCCATCCTTCAAATAGATTCACAGACACTTTCAACAACAGGAAGCAGTTTAATGCAATGTGCTGCCAATGGGTAAAACAGCTACTGCATGGACTAAGAACATGCTACTGCAAAAAAGAGAAAAAAGTGTTAATATTTCTTAATACAAACAAAGCTACTTTTCACCTTAAAAGAATACTGATGTTTCTAGATGTTGGAAAATTTTAGCAAGTACTTCATTGGAAATAAGCCTTCACAGTGAAGGATCTGTTAACTACTATAGTTCAAGAGGCAAGCTTCCCAAAGCACACTGATTCTCCGAAGAGGCATTTGAAGCTTCAAATCATTACTAGCAGTGACCAAAAAAAAAAAAATAAAAAAATCACAACCTGCAGCGTTGAGTTGGCACCCACAGAAAACAAGGTGTTCCAAATTGAACTTCTACCACCTTCAGCACAGTGGAAGTGCAGCTTGCAGCCTCAGAGACAGCTGAAGTAGAGTTTCTACTGAACTAGACACAGCCAGTCAGCATAATTCCACCTTTAGATCTATGTTTGAATGGATATGAAATCTTTGCTCTAGGTATTTTACTAAAGATTTAACTGAACACCAACTGATTACAAAGCTACAGCACTGTTACTGTTGTCAAATGAGAAAGCTTCAACAACAACAACAAATTTCCTGTTTTATTGAGCAAATGCCTTGTCCTCAATTGCCTAAACACCTAAAATTCTGGTTATTTGCCCAAATGAGCAATTTGGCAGCAGGATTAGATGAGCAGTTGTGATACATAATGTATTTCATGTCCTACTAGATTAGAAATATTTCAAACTTTATAGATAATTCAGACAACTTAGCTCAGTAATTTAAATAACAGCTTAAATTAGAACTAGTTTGACCCATAGTATTCAGCACTGTTTAATTAGAACTGCTGGTATCCACAAGATACAAGCTAGAAGCTTCACAGCACAGGAAATGAAGAGTGGAGCGGGAAAAGCCAAGAGCAGCAGCAGGAGGAAGCAGGAATTTCCAGCATTATTGAACTGCTATTTTCATTTCTAAGCAAAAACTAGAAATAGTACAGATCATGAAACATGTTCACATGCCTTTAGATACTTTAGTACAACATCAGTTAACTACTCAAATTTGGAGATGACAATATGCTATCAACTCATTTGTTTTTCCAACAGTTCAGAATTACTTTATGGTTTGTATTAATAACTTTAAAGATACTGTTACTTCCCCCGTAGTTCTCAGCGTGAAAGGAAGTTCGAGTGTCATTTAGTAGCAAACTGAATATTATTTAAATCAAAACAATCACAGCTTTTTAAGTTTTCCTCTTAAAAAGCAACCTGTATTTCCACCTTATCCTTAACAGTCCTGTCAGAATGGCAAAACTGCCATTTGAAATTGCTTTTCCTAAAACCCAAGGGGACAGAGATGATAAAATAGCATGGCATTCACACCATGTACCACATATATTTCTCAAGTCCAAACTTGTATAGCAACGCTTCCTAAAAAACAACTACGTTATTGTGATCAAAACTGACTTTACACCCAGGCAATTGCCATAATAGAAGAGCAAAATCTTACCTACTGCTTTCTCAGTTCAGCACCACTCAAAGGCCAAACAATGAGGAATCTGTCCAACACTCAGCAACCAGTTGCAGCGTTGCCAATTTCCCACACCCCCTCCAAAACACCACCCGCACATAAGCACATCCGCAGAACAGTGTCTGTGCAGCGGACAAGCCATCTGCCCTCCCTGCTTTCTCACTCAGCTAATTCCCACCATTTTCTAGTTGATACAGCATGCAGCTACATGTACCAGCTTCCTCCAAAATCACATCAGCTCACACTGCAAAGCATCTTCAGAAGGCAGGCATTTGCATGCTGGTCCATACTCTTATTACCTTTTCTCCAGCCTGCCTTCTCTTTTCCCCACTTCCATCCTACTTTCTGTGCTTGAAATTCCCTGTAAGAAAGCAACGACCAGGCTCTGTTTGACAAAGGTCAGAAAGCAGCTCACTGGATCACACACTGCAACAAGCCTGCTAGGAATGAATTAGTTTGCCTCCTGAGCACGTGGCATATGTTGTTCCACATTTTTCATCTTGAATGGCCGGACTTTGTGCAACCTCAACTATTAAAAAAATCACCCATAATAAACTACTAATAGAGCACTGCCCTAAAGCTGCCCAATAATCACTAAGCTAAACAGAGCTGTTAATTATTCAGCACCTGACACCTTTCAGATGCTGGCATTCTGTTCAAGGGCCCAATCACGCTTTGCAACCAAACAAGAGGAACAAATCTGCAGTCACTTTTATATGCCTTCGCTGTTATTGCTCAGGATGCCTTTAATGAATTCAGTGCTGCAGTACATTTACCTCTGCTTCAAACCAAGCATGGAATAATTGCTCAGTTCTGCACCTTGGCTGTCTTCATTTAAGAAGCATCTCCTACCTTTCATCAACAGATTAAAGAGAAAATTAGAGTTACTATGATCAGTTGCCACAAGGATTTAGCAGTCTCTATCACATACCAGCGCTCGCAGAATAAAACTGCACCATTCAGTGATCATCAATATACCCATTTACATTCTCTTTTGTTCATGTTGTCATTTATCTACGTTTCAAGTTTGCAGAGTGCAGACTTCCTCCTAGTGCTATAAGATCCTACAATTGGTTTCAAAATTCTGATTCCTTTCACAAAGGTCTTACCACTTTTGCTCTGATTTTTGATCTTGACAAAGCCTAGAATGAACTTTTATTAAAAACAATCAGCCAAATCTTTTAGCTTAAGTTAGTTATAACCTACAGCATGCCATTTTTGCAGAATTTTAGAAACATGCTTACAGAGTGGTAAAACCACCGCACCCGGGCACTGACTTGGAGACTCCTTGTTATCAGTACTTAACCTCTCCAAATATCTCTGGAAAGTGCCCCCCCACCCACCCAGAAGACAAAATTATTTATAAACCTATCTAAAACAAGAGCTTGTAACATTACACAGATCTTTCAGAAGCATCTATGAGCTTGATGTTGCCACTTCACCGATTTGATAAAGCCTTTAGTAACCCAAAGCTGAATGACAGTCTTAAGGGCTTTTTTTTCCCCCCAAACTTCTGACTGCTATTGGCAAAAGGCCTGCACATTTCTACACCATTTGCAACATATGTTCAGCTTAGAGCAAATATTCTGCATTCAAGCTGCAGTAATGTGTCTCAAAGGTTTCAATATGCCACATGCACTAGATAATGTTTATCTACTCTGAGCCAGAAGCCTAATTTAAATTGGCTATTATGGACCATTAATCCAGAGGTCACTGTAAATAACTGAGGTGCTACTACTGATACAAGGGGGTGGTCCACAAATACAGGTTCCCTCTTACCCATAGCCCTGGGTGGTTGTTTACAAACCATTCTAACAGGCTGCATTGTGGTGGACTTTCCAGGTTGTTACTAACAGCTAACTATATCAGCAAAAGAAAGTCTAATAGGTAAGTCACAGCTGCAGATGCCACAATTTTAGATACTCCAAAGAACTTTCAGTAACCGACTACTTACTTGGAAGCCATCCAAGGATATCTGAATTCACTGTGGTTATTACTAGCAGGTACTCACTAAGGAGCATCCAGGATTTCTCTCATCACAGGTACAGCCTTAAAGGATATACATCATTCCAGAACAGCAGCAGAGACTAAGGCCTTAAGATTTACAAATGAGAGTTGCTTGCACTTCTGACATACACTGTC